TTAAGCATTATATAATGTTTGTTAACGATTTATTAATGAAGCTTTTAATCATTGTAAACCATCTGTCAAAATCATTTTAAGATTTTTTTTTTTTAAATGCATGATCATATGAAATATAAGTTTAATGACATTTGTAAGCATTTCGATTTACATTAAATAATGATATGTTAATAATTTGGTAATGTTTAATTAGTTAACATTAACAAGCACATTATTACAACGTGTTGCTGCTGTTTAACCAACCCTTTCTCATCAGTCTGCGTATAAATAACACGACTTTACACTTTCTAATTGCGTGTAATGCATACGCCAAATGCCAATTTTGCGTGCATATGATACGCCAATCCTTCACATTAACTTCGGTGGAGAGCAGATGCGTCTAAATACCACGCGTCATCTTCAGCGGCAGTGACGTCACCAGCGAGGCTCAGTTCGCCCAGTTCACCTGATGCGCCTACACCTTCAAACAGGTAAGGGCAACGATCTTTTTTTGTAATGATCTCGTGGTTAATGGTATTATTTTAAATATTTCAGTGTTTCTGCATCACGTTACATGGGGTCATGTGTTAAAATGGCAGCGTATGCATTCAAATTATGGAACAGTGGGCTGCTCAGTTAGCACAGCTGCTAACGATAGCCTACCATTGACATTAGCCTAGGCTAACTTATTCTGTATATATACCTGTTAGCGCAGCTGGTAGCCTACCGTTGACATTAGCCTAAGCTAACTTCTATTAAATATAGACCTGTCGCAGTTTTAAATAAATAAATAAAACCGTTTTTAATCATGTTGTGACATGGGTCTTCAGCTTTTAGACATGGCTGATGACAGCACAACAAATCAACCAACCCGGTATCAAAAGTCCACACATTTACCATATTTTTACCATAGTAGCCTAACTGTTGCTCGACCATGTCATGTGTAGCCAATGCACAGTAACTACAACATATTTACCATGCTTCTCCCACCGTAACTGTGGTGAAATGTGAACAGTTTATTGGATTGGCTGTTCTGTGCTGGGGTCCAGGGTTGCTGGGCGGGGCCAGTGTGTGCAGTCTGCCGAAGAAGGCAGAGCTAGAGTTGTTCTATGAGCGTGCATGTTTATAAAGTTAAGACTGAGTTCACAGAGTGGTCTGCTCCGTGTATCATGACATGGTGTCAGAAGTAAAAGTTATCCGCGTATTCCTGTGATCTGTGAAGGAGGACGGAATAAAATGTCCAAGTTTCATGGCAAAAGCACTGCCGAAGCTTTTGATGTTGCACAGCCATCAAGTTGGCCGGCGTGGAGGCAGCGTTTTGCACGTTTCAGGATTGCAATGAAACTCGACGAAGAAGACAGTGATGTACAGGTAAATTCACTATTGTATGCGATGGGCAAGCAGGCTGAACCCATATTCAGCACATTTACGTTTTCCGCGGAGGAAGAAAATGATTACTACAACGCAGTAGTTAAAAGGTTTGATGAACATTTCGTGCCCAAGCGCAACCTGATTCATGACCGCGCTTGTTTTCACAAAAGGAGTCAACGAAGCACTGAAAGTGTCGAAGCATTCGTCAGGAGTTTATACCAACTGGCAGAGTTTTGTGAATTTGGTGCTACTAAAGATGAGCAGATTCGCGATCGTATCGTGATTGGAATAGCAGATAGCAACGTGTCTGAAAAGCTGCAGTTAGAGCCCGACTTGACGCTGGAGAAAGCGATACAGATTGCTCGCCAGTCAGAACTGATTAAAACACAAAGCGCTGATATTGAGGTGCATGTGATGTAAGTGAAGTAGGCTATAAGTCTAAACACACTAAACAATTCAAGAAACACACAGGAGGTAAATACAGAAATCCTGACACTAAACAAAGAGATGAAAGTAACAAAGTGACCTGTTCAAGATGCGCACGTGTGCACGAATATGGGGCCTGTCCTGCTCGAGGGAAACGATGCCGCAAGTGTAACAAAACAGGCCATTTCGAGGTCGCTTGTAAAACAAAGACTGTAAAAGAAGTGACCAGTGATAGAAAAGATGATGAAACAAGAGAAACGTGGTTTCTGGGGTCAGTTTCGGATGATGCTAATGAGGATGAGTGGCATGTGAAGTTACCAATGCAGGGGACTACTGTAAAGTTCAAGATCGATACGGGTGCAGATATCACGGTCATGTCTGAGCAAACATTTCTGAAACTCCCTAATCGCCCTCATCTTACAAAAACACTTGCAGACATCAGGAGTCCAGGTGGCACACTTAAAACTGCCTGTGAAATGAAACTGGTGAGCAGAGTCGATTCTATTAGTACTGAGGACAGTGTTTTCGGAGACTTCGGACTGCTGGATTGTGAGCCAATCAAAATTGAGCTCAGACAGGAAGCCAAACCATACAGCCTCTCTACGTCTCGTCGAGTCCCCTTTCCATTACTGCCAAAAGTGGAAGAGGAGCTACAGCGTATGCTAAAGTCAGGAATCATAGAAGAGGTCACTGAAGCAACAGACTGGTGTGCACCAATGGTGCCTGTGATAAAGAAGAACGGCAAGGTGAGAATTTGCGTTGACCTTAAGAAATTGAACGAAGCAGTAAAGCGTGAGAGATTCATTCTGCCCACACTTGAGGATATCTTACCACAATTGTCTGGTGCATGCATATTCTCCACATTAGACGCGTCTAGTGGATTTTGGCAGATACCTTTGGATGCAAGCTGCAGGAAACTCACCACCTTTATCACACCAGTTGGTCGCTTCTGTTTCCGGAGACTCCCCTTCGGAATTACCTCAGCTCCGGAGATATTTCAGAGAGAAATGAGCACTCTTCTCAAAGACCATGCCGGCACAGTAGCGGTGATGGACGATATACTGGTATTCGGTAGAGACAAGGAGGAGCATGATCGCAACCTCAAGGTAGTCTTAAGGTCCATCAGAGAATCTGGTCTTAAGTTGAACAAAGAGAAGTGTCACTTTGGAAAATCTGAGATTCAATTCTTCGGACATATTATTGGAAAGGATGGAATCCGGCCAGACACTAACAAAGTGAGAGCTATAACGGAGCTCCCCTGTCCTATGAATCTGACCGAACTGCGACAGGTTTTAGGGATGATAAATTACCTGGGCAAATTCCTCCCGGGTCTCTCGTCAGTTCTTCATCCAATGACTGAACTTCTTAAGAGTGACACTGAATGGACCTGGGGTGTGGCACAGATAAAGGCATTTAACAGGGTCAAGAGCATGTTGACCACAGCACCAGCGCTAGCATTCTATGATGCAAACAGGACCACAGTAGCCAGTGCGGACGCAAGCAGTTATGGCCTAGGGGCTGCCCTGTTTCAGCAGCAGGAAAATGGACTACGTCCTATTGCTTTCTGTTCAAGGACCTTAACTGAGACCAAACACCGCTACTCACAAATCGAGAAGGAGTGCCTAGCTGGTGTGTGGGCATGTGAGGGGTTCTCGCGGTACTTGCAAGGTATGGACAAATTTGAACTCCAGACTGACCACAAGCCGCTGGTGCCCTTAATAAACACATATGATGTTGACAAAGCTCCCTTAAGATGCCAATGGCTACTGATGCGCTTAATGAGATTTAATGTCAAAGCAGTCCATGTACCAGGCAAACAGCTTGTGGTGGCAGACACTCTTTGCAGAAATCCGCTGACTCATCTTGGTGAGTCTGACACCGAGTGTGATGTGACAATGTTTGTACAGGCAGTATTGTCTACTAAGTCTGTGAGTGGAGACAGGTTAAATGCCATAAGGAAAGCCACACAACAAGATTCAGATCTCCAGTCGGTTTGCAAGTACATCCGCCAAGGATGACCCAGTCAGACATCTCAATTGACAAACACACTGCATGGGTTTCATGCAGCTAGAGCTCACCTTTCTGAAATTGATGGACTTTTGCTGTATGAGGACAGAATTGTGATTCCTGGTTCACAGAGACTGGAGGTGTTACGTCAGCTTCACACAGGTCATCAGGGCCTCGCGAAGTGCAGGGAGAGGGCTAATATGTCAGTGTGGTGGCCTGGAATAGGCAGGGACATCACAAAAACAAGAGAGACGTGAGTTCTGTCAAGTCTACAAGCCAACACAAAAGAGAGAGCCTCTGATGGTTACATCTCTTCCTGATGGGGTGATATTGATATTGAGATTGCACATCTGCAAACTGTTTCAAGCCAGCAGGTGATAACACATTTTAAAACAATGTTTGTTCGGTGGGGGATCCCATACGAGCTTGTGACAGACAATGCTACTTAGTTCACGTCTACTTTTGCAGAGTTCAAAACGACATACAATTTCACTCACACTACTTCCAGCCCTCACTACCCACAGGCTAAAAGAAAGAAGTGTTGCTATTGCAAAAAGGGTGCTCAGACAGCCAGATCCACAGCTGGCTCTTATGAGCTATCGTGCAACACCTATCAATGCCACAGGATTGAGCCCAGCTCAACTGATGATCGGACGTCAGATCAGAACAACAGTTCCGATACTACCACTGGCTCTTATGAGCTATCGTGCAACACCTATCAATGACACAGGATTGAGCCCAGCTCAACTGATGATCGGACGTCAGATCAGAACAACAGTTCCGATACTACCAAATAACCTGCTACCCAGTTCAACTGACTATGAACAAATCAGACTGAAAGACAAACAAACCAAACAGGCTAATAAGTACTTCTACAACCGACGATACTCAGCACGTTCTCTATCTGACCTACATCCTGGTCAAAGTGTGAAAGTTAAGTTGGATGGAGAAAAAGCATGGAAAACATCAGCAACAGTTGTTGGAAAAGCTCCTGAACCCAGATCATACATTGTGCAAACAAAGGAAGGCATAATCTCTCGCCGGAACCAGAGACACATTCAGAGTGTCCCTGAAACACCTGTAACTCCGTAAACATCTGAGACACCAAATGGACAGACTGTAAATGAGAACAGTGAAGGAACCGATGGACCATCTCTTGAGACTGATTTAACCACAGACTTTATGAATGGGTCCAGTACCCCAGCTTCCATTACACCACACACTCTTACACCCACCCGCAAAAGAACCCTTGCTGGTAGGGAAGTAAAACAGCCCGTAAAGTTTAAGGACTATGTTTTGGGGTAGTTGTTAACAACCATACCGATGCAAATAGTTTCCTTGCATTTTAACTTCTACAATGTACTGTAAGATGAAAAAAAGGGAAAAAAAGGGAATTGTTAAATGCTAACGTTCTGTTTAAGTGACGAGTTATGGTGAAGAGATTGTGAGCAGTGAATATTATTACTGATATCTGATGTTGATATTGATGCCTGTTACTTGGTTGAGAATGTAATTTGCTTAGTTCCATATTGCTTATAGAGAAAAAAATAATAATGAGGGACAGTAGAACTTTAAAGACGGGAGATGTGATGAAATGTGAACAGTTTATTGGATTGGCTGTTCTGTGCCGGGGTCCAGGGTTGCTGGGCAACGGGGGCGGGGCCAGTGTGTGCAGTCTGCCGATGAAGGCAGAGCTAGAGTTGTTCTATGAGCGTGCATGTTAATAAAGTTAAGACTGAGTTCACCGAGTGGTCTGCTCCATGTATCATGACAGTAACCATAGTTTTACTGTGTTATCTGTAGTTACTAATGCACAATAACCACAACACTTACCATGGTTTTACCACAGTAACTGTGTTTTTACTCTATACTATTTGTAAAGCACAGTAACCACAATGCTTGCCACGCCTTTAATACCTTTTTGTGAAGTAATTGTAATTCAATATTTTTTTTCTGTCTTGCAGTTACGTAAGATCACATACTCCAGCAGCTCTTTAAAGAAGCCATCTCTTGTAAAAGTCTCTCTCTCTCTCTCTCTCTGCTAGAATTAACAGGGAACTTCAACTCGACGCTCCCAATGCTGACCTTGAAGAAGCTGTCAAGGAGGCTGAACAAGTCCTTCAAAGGTTCAACCCTTCACAGGTAATGTTGAAAACATTTAGTTATAACTGATTTGCTTTAACGAACGCATCCTTATATTATGTGTTAATCAAATATTTTGGTCACAGATCATTTTTTAACACACTGTCTCAACATGTTTATATTTCTCTTCGTTTCAGCTGAAAGGGAATACCAAAGGAAGGCCTGTCATGGGATTTGAATTTGACCATCTTGTGCGTTTATGGAGAAGACCAAAAGCTGCAAAGGCAAACACTTCCAATGGTACGTCTGTGTCGGTCTGAGCACTTTGACTGAACTTTACTGCAGAGACATTTTGCACAGCATTTGATGTTTCTTAAACTTTGGTTTACATACCCCACGGCCCCATCAGGAAATAAAAGTGTCATGTAGAAGTAGTAATAATTCATACAATTTACCAAGTCTGCAAATTCATATGATATTGCACAAGCATACATATTTTTATGAAGCGAATTTTACTCCTACTGCTGTCATTGGCCATTGCCTCAACTCCCAAGCAGATTGTGCGCATTGCAAGAGTGTTTATATCATAAAGTTTATATTAAGTTCATTGTATTCTTTATTAATCTTTACAAATTGGTGCCGTCTCTTCCTGTTCCAACAGTACGTGATATCTGTCCACACCTCATAGTCTGCCTTTCTTTCCATGTTGATTTTTATTGAACACATCTGTCTAAGAAGCAAGACTTTTTAAGTTTAAGTTTAACTGACAAATCAGATCTTCAATTAATTTGGCCAAATCAGATCACTTAAAGCTGTTCACACCAAGAACAAGAACTATAATGAGAACTATTTTAGCATCCACACCAACAGACGATACTGTTCTGTTTATTATAAGCATGCGCTGTGGTTATGTTGTCTGCCATAAAATGCTCAAGCTCTTTAAAGTCTGGTGGATTCTGATTGGCTGTCAATGTTTTTATTGTTCATCAGCTGTAAAAAAATTATTGTTCTGAAAGAGATTCCAACGATATTGTTCCTCTGTGTCATAAAATGTTAACTCTGAAATGTTCCTTTCATTCTGTTAAAATTACACACTTCTCATCATGGACAACAAACTGTGCTGAGTCACATTTTTTAAATTGTCTTTTCAACAACTTGCCAATATGTAAGTTGCAAGTCATGGATATCCTAGAATAAGAATAGACCCACAAAAATATCTACATCAGTTCCCATTTGGAATGGGCACCATTTATTTAAAGGGGTCATATGATGCTGCTAAAAAGAACATTATTTTGTGTATTTGGTGTAATGAAATGTGTTTATTCCACATACTGTACATTATTGTTTCTCCTCTATGCCCCGCTTTTCTGAAATGTGTCAATTTTTACAAAGCTCATCGGTCTGAAAAGCGAGGTGTGCTCTGATTGGCCAGCTATCCAGTGTGTTGTGATTGGCCGAATACCTCATACCTCAAGCGGAAATGTTACGCCCCTCACCATACTGTGTTAATGCCGTGTCTGGCCGGAGCAACGACAAACGACACAGAAAACCCATTACAAACGAGGCATTTGTTGCATCCAGTGGGGACATAATTACTGATTATAATGACTTATACTGTCATTTTACGCGTTGCGTTGCGCCGCGTAAACATAAAACCATGTCTGCATTTGTGATCAGAGAAATGACAAACAACAAGTGC